CCACCCCCCAACTTAACTTTTTTATTGCAGATTCGTGTTCCTCTAGAGTAGCGCAGCACAACCCCGCCTTCAAAAAAAAAAATAAAAAAATTCCTTGCTGTGTTTTTGCGTCGCCCGGTTTCGCCGGGCGGACCCCCCTGGGCCCAACCGGCCGGGGCCCGCCGGGGCGGCGGCCCAGCCTAGCTTTTCAGTGTTTTCACAAGTTTTCAGTGCTAAGAGAGGGGGGGGGGGGTTAATCAGGGCTTGAAAAGTGGGGGTCCCTGTTAACTGCTTGTGTGCTCAGCATGGCCAACTTACTGACCTTTGCTATCACTTTGTGGGCAAATTGGGCTTTTCCTTCTTCTCTTCTATAGTAGAGAGAGGTCATCCAAAGCTTGTTGTTGTTCTGCCAGCTTCTTTTCCTCAGCCTTCTCAGTCTACCACAGCAACTTTTTCTGAGTCTCTTTCTACCCTGCCTGCTTATCTTCTCCTCAGCTTGGGTTCTCTCTCATGGGTGGCCAGCAGCTGGGCAGCCTTGTCCTCATTCATATTTTGTAGTCGGGCCCAGTCTGGTTTGGGGATCTGCAGGTGTCTGTCCTGAATCAACTCAGTATCCTCTGGCTCTTTCCCCTTTTTTTCCATTGCATTCTCCGCTTTTGTCTTCTTGGGCTGTACCTTCTTCTTCTACAGCTTCCCTTGCAAGTTTGGCTGCCTCCTCCCCTGGAGCATTCAAGACCCCTCGCTGGCCTCTTCCTGGCAGCTTCTTCTGCTTGCCGGGCTGCATAACCGACACCTGGCGCTTGGCAGCCAAGCCTGCCTTCTTCTTCCCCTCCTTCTTCTTCTTCTGCTTCTTCTTCTCCTCCTCCCGCCTCTTCTCTTCTTCCTCTTCTTTCTTCTTCCCGGCATCCGATGAGCCATGTCTGCTGCCTGCCCAGTTGCTGGGTGGAAGATCTGGCACGCAAGGTGCAGAAAGAAAAGGAGCGGCTGCAACAAACCGGGCATTGGCTGCACACTGTCTCCATGGCCAGCAGGAGGAACTCGAGATTGCCTTCTTCAGAAAAAAGAAATCGCTACACAGTTCTTGTTGCTATTCACAGAATTACAATTCACCGGATACCGCACACACGCCAATCCAAACTCAAGACACAAAAGCAAAGATGGCGCAGCTATGGTGGGTATGCCCGCACACGAAGTCAAGTTTCTTCCTCCACAACCCAAGCTATGGTGGGTATGCCCAAACACAGCTATGGTGTGTAATCACTCAAAAGTTTTCTCATCTCATGTTCCGATTCGAAATGCCAGTGTACATCGCAAGCACCGTTATCATTCCTCCGTGTGTACTCTCTTTCCGCCCCACCAAAGTACTTCGCAATGAGCGCCCTAGCACTTGGCTGGCTCTATCTTACACAAAAAAGGAACAAGAATCAACAACCACCACGACGACAAGTAGAATCGCCCGACTACTCAGCTATGGACGCCTTCTTCATCACCAAAGCTACGAGCTCCCTAGCAAGTGGCGATATCCTACTGAAAAAAGGAGCAAGAATCAACAACAACACGATGACAGGTAGAATCGCCCTACTACTCAGCTATGGCCACCTTCTTTTTGTGTTTCATACAGCTGTGTGTGTGTGTGTGTGTTTCTGTGCCCATATCTGCAAATGCCGCTTTCACAAATCCTCCTTTCCTTAAGCTCGACTTCTGCCCAAAGATTCACTTATGGCCCTCTCCATCGACTATGTGTCCCTATCCGGGCTCTCTTTTCCTGACGTGCTGGCTGGCCCTTCTTGTTAATTTTTAGATGCATGTTTCAACACTTTTGTGAAAGAATACTGAATCCATATTTGATATTAATGCATGTGCATAATTTTTGGTTGTTTTTTACATGACCAGGTGGGAACTCAGCAGGACGTACGGCATTAGCCAATGAGAGACGACTGGTGGAACCGGTGGCAAAATTTCCAAGTCCCAGTGTGTCATACGAAATTCCCAGTGTGTCATACGCATTCACGTCCTCATTCTCCATCTCATCTGTGCAGTCACAGATAAAAGGCACGAGGGGGAAAAGGCGAAGAGGGAGTGTGTGCGTATTTGTGTGTGTGTGTGTGTGTGTGTGTGTGTGTGTGTGTGTG